ATAAATAATGCAGTGTCTCCCCCACAATTTGATATACTAAGTAGGGAAGATGCTAGTCAGCTTTCAGCTGATAAATACAGTTCTAAGTGGGTAGATGAATAATGTTTCTATCAGTATTACCAACTCTAAATGGTATTATGCAGTTTGATAAATTATGATTTCACCATATATATGTCTGCCATGGTAAGCCATACTTGTACCAACTGCAGAAAAATAAATCTCCTTTTAGAAAATAATCTGCGATAACAATAACCACAAAAGAAAGGGTTTTCCTGGAAAAAGAATAATTTCCCTAAGGAGTATATTAATACAAGTATATATTTAAGACATTGATGGGAACTATGCCAACAGTCTTGCTCTAGTAAAAATAAAAAATAACATAGCAATGGATAAAACAAATTTTTAGTTAAGCCATAGTAAATACAGAAAAAAAAGTAGAAGTGAGGACATGTTCCTGTGATGGGAACAGACAGGATTAGCACATGCTCTTCTGGAAAGATGGCTCATGGAGCTCACAGTCAGGAAAGATGGCAATACTGCTTGGTTTCCCAAGACTCTGGGCAGGAAAATGTCACTGAGTTGGAAGTATCCCACCAGAGGGGACGTCATATGTCAGAAGGCATTCTGTAACTGTAAACCTATGACACTGTTCCATCTCTCTTAAGGAAAATTTTAATGATGTATATATTATTTATGAATTCTTCCAAGTTCTTAATGTTTGAGTTTCAAACATTTTTTGCAAAAATTATTACACTACTATGATTCATTTCACTCAAGTGCCCTCTTTAGTGACCTAAAAAGTATACATTGAAAAGCGTGTTTCACATTTACATTTAGACATTGTATACTTGTACACCAAAAGCTGTTTTACTATTTTAGTTACAATACTGCTACTTCAAGTAGTGGGATTTGTGGTCAGAAGTAGTTCCTTTTGACTCCATTGCTCATCAAAAGCAAATGTATACACAAAAGAAAAAGTCAGCACACTAAAAATTATATTATAACCAGAAGTGTCAGAAAGAAGGGTGGTATTGAAAAAAATGATGTTAAGTTGGGCACTGGTAGCTCACAGCTGTTATCCTAGCTACTCAGGAGGCTGAGATCTAAGGATCGCAGTTCAAAACCAGTCCATGCAAGAAAGTCTGTGATATTCTTATATCCAATAAGCCACCAGAAAACAGGAACTGGCGCTGTGGCTCAAGTGGTAGAGTGCTAGCCTTGTGCTGAAGAGCTGAGGGACAGCACTCTGACCCAAAGTTCAAGCCCCACAACTGACAAAAAAAAAAAGAGAAAAGATTTAATTAAAAAAATGATTTTAAAAAAAGAGGCAGAAAAGAACCCTAAGCCCATTTACTTCTTAACATTTAGGATTTAATGTAATATGATCCCTTAATCAAGAGATATTCAATAATGCTAAGATTTCTTGTTTTATCGTTGCAATTTTCAGGAAAGGTCCACTAAAATTACAAGTACAAAACTTACCTTACTGAGCAGTGTGAATTGTAATATAGTGTATTTTTCATTTAATACAGTAGTTAACACATCATCATTCCCTAATCTATTAAAAAGTATTAAACAATGAGGTTTGCTAGTGAACTTAAATGAAATTCATTCCTCAATACACTAAAATATACTTTAAAAAATACACATGTTGACTTTCCTATCCACAATTAATGTGGATACATATTCCACTTAGAACACTTAGACAAATAGCAAAGGCCCCAAATTAATCATTTGGCAGCATTTTATAATGCTTTGATTTTTAAATTCTCTGATTTATTTTTTATAAAGAGAAAGCTTTAAAGCTTTACCACTTTTGTGAAATAAGGTTATCATGTGTGATGAAATTATCTAAAGTCATTTCAATTCATTAAAAGAGCCAAATTTAATAATTGGACTTTTGCTTATTTTACTTTTTTTTCAAAAATGCTCTATTGATAGCAAGTTATATATTTTAAAAGTTAATTAGCAACTTATAGGTGATTAATGAAAATTACAGATTATTATTACTTTCTGCAATGGTTATTTTAAACTAGTGGCTTACTGAACATGCTTACCTAAAAATATTTAGAAAAATAATTTAGAAAATTCTAATCAGATATTATCATGTAAGAAAGGCATAAAAAAGTAGTTGCCAGAAATAATTCTTTAAGAAATGTACTTTGCATGTAAGGTGTATGAATTAAGTAATTTAATAATAATATTTTCCAATAAATGTCATTACATGCTAATAACTGCAAAATGGAATCATTTTTGTACATACTATAGATTTTTATACAAGGTGGTTTAACAAATATTAACTTTTGTAGGACAATCTCATTTTGAAATCCGAATATTCTAGATCATTGAAACAACCAAAAACTGTTTTGGAACTCAAACGTCATAAAAAGATCTATATTATATGTGATGTATATATATAGGCCTATGCTTTAATTATTATAACCATAAACATTTAGTAATAAAGGAAAGGAGCAAGTTTCCTTTCTGCATTCCTATCAATTTACATTAGGGTATTATAAAGTAATTAGATAATTTCTTCTCTTTTCCTGTTTCTGTTTACTCCATCTGAGTACACAACAAAACCTGATGAGAAACCACATATACTTAAAAATATTCCAAAGACTGGGTGTGACTCAAGCAGTAGAATGCCTGCCTAGCTTGAGCCTGAGTTCAAACCCCACTTACAAAAACCAAAAAACTCACATCTCAAAGTAAATAAATGTTAACCCAAATGTTAAACAATAAAACATTATTTTCACAGGTCTTCTGATGACTTAGTCCAATAAATGTTTTTGCTTTGGAGACTTGTAAGTATCTCTATAATACTAAGAAACCTAAATTCTGAAATAATCATTTACCCATTCATCATCTTCAAGTACCACTAGGAAAAATAGCATAGCTAATGACCTGTTTTGTCTTTCTAAACTCCAGGACATAAACATAAATTCATTGCCTCACAACCGTTTTGTGAGGTAGATCAGTAGGCAAATAGCATTATCTTCACTCTGCAAATGAAGAAATTGAGGCACTGTAAGGTTACAAGATCTTCCCAAGGCATTCAAGGAGTCAACCATGAAACTACAAGCAGTATTAAATTACTGTGGCACTCTGATCACATTACACAAAAATGTGCATATGTGTGTGTGTCTGTGTGTGTTAAACAGGTTAGAAGACCTTAAATTCAGAGTAAATCTATCAACTGATAGTAATTTTAAAGGGCTTTAATTTTAAAGATTATAAACTCATAGATCAAAACAATCAGATAATTAGGATGATGCATTATTCTTTTCCATACCTAAACAGAACTATGTCTTCACAATTTTTACATGATAACATTCATTAAAGAACAAACTAAAAATGGAAAATTTATGACTGAGAGAAAGATTACTTTCAAGAAATATAAATCAAGTTGGGCACAGGTGGCTCACAGCTGTAATCTTAGCTACTCAGGAGGCTAAGATCTGAGGATTCAGGTTCAAAGCCAGACTGGGCAGAAAAGTTTGTGAGACTTTTATCTCCAATAAACTACTCAGTAAAAATCTGGAAGTAGCGCTGTGGCTCAAGTGGTACAGCACTATTTTTGAGCACAAGAGGCTCAAGGACAGCTCACAGGCCCTGAGTTGAAGCCCCATGATTGGCAAAAAAAAAAAAAAAAAAAAGGAAAGAACCATAAATCATATTCTTAGGATGACCATATAATTGAACTTCAATAAAGAAACTTGAGAGTTTAGGGGAGCACTAGTCATAATTACAAGGATAATAGATACTAAACTGAGACTATCCTGGGCAAGTTTAAATATGGTCACCCAATGTAGAATTGATTCTGAAAGAATTACAGATACTTTAGGACCATAAAAAATTCCCTGCAAGTATGTTGTGCTCAATCATATTCACCAGTGTGTCAAAAGATAATATCTGTTTGGCTTAAACACAAAGGTTAAAATAGTCAATTTAAAATTATAAGCACATTTAAAAAATAAAATTATTATTACAGATTTCCATTTTAATATTATTTTGCTATTTTCTATAAACCCCAATTTAAGTTCTAGTAATAAAAGTAAATGCATTCATTTTTTAGCTTTATATAACCAGATGTTTTCTTTTCAAAAAGTGAAAATGGGCACCTTTAAGTAGTAGAGAATTTTTGTGGAATTCTTTGGCTATTAAAAAAAACAAAAAACAAAAAAACCCTCCTATTTACCATTAGTGCTTAGAGTTTCTCCTTGAATGGAATAATCAACACTTATGTCAATATGGTAATACCAAAGGTGAGTTTTCTTTCCAAAATGAAAATCTTTTCAAAGCAATAATACCAAAAACATTTTTAAAAATGTTTTTTAAAAAAGACTGAAAAGAATGACATATTACTTAATTAGAGAACACATGCTAAAGACATTGTCAGTGGATGTATAATCTTAGTTATACATGCAAAAAATCCCATTAATTTGCATACATATTTGAAAAAGAGCTTCTTACATTCAGCTATGTCTGATAAGACTTATTTTAAGACATTGGTTTTGTGAATACCAACATTATCTGAGGTCTTCTTTCACATATGTTTCCTTAAGTAAGTACAAGTTGAACCTACGTTTTAGAAACAGCAAAAATGTAAATCGTAATTACAAAACTGCATTATCACTTAGTGTGACATATGGCTTCCTTGAACCTTTGCCTCCTGAAAAAAAATGAATCTGAAACAAACTTAATTACACATTCTCAATATACATTGGTCTTTATCATGAGTCAAACCCTTCCACTATAACTGTACTTCTAAGGCAGATACTTAGAGAATGGTATGTAACAAATCCTATTAGCAAAGATGATACTCAATTCAGTGAACTAAACAACCTATTAGTGCTAAGATGTAATTAATTATCTGTAACGTTTTGTTTTCCTGACACTTTTTATCAAGAGTACAGAGGAATTTTGGGAGCACACAAACATCCATAAAGGCTGAACTGATGTGTTGTCTTAGATTAGTTGTTCCATGATTTTTTTTCTGATTTTAAATATCTTCAAATATTACACTGGAGGACATTGAAAGATATCGACCACCAGGCTGATACCTAAAAGATGAACAAAAAAATTATCTGAATCATCAAATGTAAAAAAGGAAAAAAGAAAATATATTGTTTCAGTAAAAAAAAAAAATCAAGTCAATAGCTGAAATAAAAACTTACTATTTACTTAACTGTAAATCAACCAAAAATGGTGTCTAGAGTACATGTAAGACAAAGTGAAGAATATTTTTAAAAAAACGGACAGATATAAGATGCATCCAGGAGACTGTTAGTTTAATAAACTTAATTATCAAATATAAATAGAATATTCTTATTTTGCTACTTATAGATAATAATACATTAAACATCTTTATGTATGTGATAATTTGCTTTTATTTTCTCATGGGACAGTTGGAAAAGATACAGTCTCTAATATCTGAGTACTAGAGTTTTCCTGAATTGCCATTTATAAGCTGTCTCTGTATTTAAAATGCAACTGGATTTCAACCACAAATAAAATACTGTTAAAGTATTTAGATTGTGTCTGATATCAAGATACAATTATGTCACAACTGATAAATTAAATCAACGTTATAATGAGATTGTCATAGATATAATTCTTTGCTACTTATATTCAACTTTTTCTTATTTATAACACTAGTGTTATACTGTATATACAGTATATAATTTTGTAATTATAATTATATAATTATAAAATAATATAATAGTATATAAATATATGAAGATACCAATTCCAATTCCCACTATTTGAGTGCTAAATTTTCAAATATAAAAAAATTAGAGGGCAAGAAAAGACATCAAAAGTCATTTAATTTTTTAGTAGTAGTAAAACTGAGGATATAACTAAAGTCTCATATTGGTAAGTATGTTACCACTAGGTTACATCCTCAGCTAAACATTTTTTTATATTAAATTATCACTTGTTTTCAACCTTGTCAGGTTAGTATATCAATAAAATTTCAGATAATTGGAACTTGCCTTCCTGATTCAGATTCAAGAGGATCATCAGTGAATGTTTCTGCATTAAAATCCAAAGGTTCTGCATCTTGAAGAAGTTCTATTCGGTCCCTTTCAGTCCTATTGTTAGCCCTAGTATACTTGGATGCTGCTCAAAAGAAGAAAACCAATGTCTATTATTGTCTTTTAATTTATGAATTCAAAGAAAGAAAAATCAAGACTAAAAATGATCCAAATTTTTATTTTAACAACAAAAAGAGATGATAAAACTACATGGTTCTTTAAAAATCAGTTGAAAAGCCAGGTACAGGGGTTCAAGCATATAATCTTAGCTACTTGGAGGCAGAGATCAAGGAATCTTGGTATCAGGCCAGCTTGAGAAAAAAGAAAATTGAGAGACACTATCTTAACCAATGGCTGGGAAAGTTGGCACGTACCTGAGATAACATAGCTGTTATATGAGCTACAGGGAAAGCACAATGACTGAACATAGTGGTGCATGCCTGTCATCCCTATCACACAGGGAAACACAAATTGGAGGATTGCAGCAATGGCCATTCTGGGCATAAACAAGACTCTGCCTTGAAAATCACCAATACAAAAGGGGGCTAGAAGTATAGCTCAAGTGGTTCAGGCTTTGTCTAGCAAACATGAAACCCTGAGTTCTACCCCCAAAACACTAAAGCATAAAAATTAATATGAATCAAAATTAATATTTAACTGTGTCATTACAGTGAAGTTGTTTCTTATCAAATGAAATGTCAGTTGGCTTCACAGTGAATTTTATATTTTGTTTGTGATTATAAAAACATTCTAAATAAGATATCCACTCAGTATCTATGTAGGCAAGCATAAGAAAATACTTTCTAAATCAGCTAGAAAATACTCACACCAATTGGTATTAATATCTGAGAAATTGGACTCTTTGGGATCAGGATGAACATTTCTATTTCTGGTAGAATCTTCTCTATTGTGTCCATATCGTTCTTTCCATTCCTAGAAAAGAAATACAAATAAATATGTAACAAAAGAACAGAGAATAATTAATCACTAGTAATATATTCTATACACTTAGTATAATGTAAATATTACCATTACAAAACTCATAAGTAAGCTGGGAACTAGTACCTCACGCCTGTAAGCCTAGCTACTCAAGAGGTTGAGATCTGAGGATCATGGGTCAAAGCCAGACAAGCAGGAAAGTCTGTGAGACATTAATCTCCAATAACCTACTCAGAAGAAGCCAGAAGTGGTGCTGCGGCTCAAGTGGTGAGACCTAGCCTTGAGCACAGAGTAAGTTAGGGACAGAGCCTAGACCCTGAGTTCAAGCCACAGGACCAGCAAAAAAAAAAAAAAAAAAATCATTACTAATCATTATAATTGTCATAATGAACTTAAGAAACAACAGGTCAATGTATATATCTTTATGTGATTTGTTAAGACTAGTCTATATATGCTTTTTTATTCTGCTTACTTGAACTCAAGGCTTTCTGTTTTCCAGACAAGTGCTCCACTATTTGAGCCATGCCTTTTGTATTTTATTTAGTTTAAGGATATGCTCTTGCAATTTGCTCCATGACTAATGTTGGACCAGGATCCTTCTGCCTATGCCTTCATGTAAATGGAATAATATGCACATGACAGTACGCAGATTTTTTTTACCCCTCCTGGCCTCGAACCAGGACCATAATGACCACTGCTTCCTAAGTAGCTAGGATTGTAGGTGTGTGGCACCACACCAGACCCTATAAGCTTTAATTTTTAATGAAGACATTTATAGCCATTTTGCTAGCTTTGATTATAACTTATTATTCTAAAAATTTTTAAATGATATCAGGCATGTTAAATAATATGTTTCTCTTGATGATATGTTATGGAAAACATAAATGATTAATGAGATTTAATAAAATTTCATTTCACTTAAACTATAAACAAAGTTATTCTTGATGGCAAAATCAAAGTTGTATAAAAGCATAACAAAATGATGACTCAGATTGTGCTCCTATGAACACAGTAAAATCATAGTTAGCTGAGGTTCTATTCATTAAATTGAAACTATTTGATGTCACCTAATTCCACCTTCCAGGCAGTGCAAGGAATCGTTTTTCTATGCGTAAGCAATCTACTGTAATTTTAGTAAATTGTGAAAGTAAAAACCTATTCACAATAGCCAAACTACAGGATCAGCCTAAGTGTCCATAAACCTATGAATGGAAATCGAAAATATAGTATCCAAAAAGCATGAAACTATATCATTTGAAGAAAAATGGATAAAAATGGAGACCATCAGGTTACGAAAGATAAGCCAGAATAAGACAAATACTGTATTTTCCCTCTTACATGTTGCCTAAATTTAGAGATAAAAAAGGAAAGTATATGGGTGAAATGATTACTGTTTAGGTGTGGGAACCAGCAAGAATGGGGAGAGTAAGAAGGTAAAGAGAAAGTGAATCTCCTCAAAATACTTTACATGTATGAAAAGAAAATTAATTTGTGTTTGAAAGGAAGGAAGAGAAAGCGAAACTGAAGAAAAGAATTTGGCCAAAGTATACTATATACATGTTTAGACATATAATGAAACCCCTTAGTACAATTAATTTAATGCTAAGAAAAAAAAGAAAGCCAGGCATTGGTTACTCACTCATGCCTGTAATTCTAGCTACTCAGAAGGCTGAAATGAAAATCGCAGTTCAAAGCCAGCCCAAGCAGAAAAGTCTATGAGACTCTTAACTCCAATGAACTACTGAAAAGCTACAGGGCTGGGAAGGTGGCTCAGTGGTAGAGTGCTTGCCTTGCATGCATGAGGCCCTGGGTTCCATTCCTCAGCACCACATAAGGAGAAAAAAGCCGTAAGTGGCACTCAAGGCTAGCACTCTACCACTTGAGCTGAAGGGCTGAGGGACAGCATCCAGGCCCAGAGTTCAGGCCCCACGATCGGACCAAAAAAAAAAAGCTACAAATAGCACTGAAAGCCACCAGTTCAAGCTCCAGGACCAGCATAAAACAAATAATTAAAAGGGGCAGAAAGAATAAGATAAACAGAACAACAACAAAAAAGAAGTGAAATCTATCTTAGGAATTTCTGTTCTTTGATTCCAGTTATACCTGAAACAAAGAGCAAGACTTTCTTTAACATGAAGACATACAAAGATAACGATCAAGTCTCCTTTTAGTCTTCATTTCACCAGTGTAAATATACCCAGGTGTTAAGTCTGTGGTAAACATGGATAATTTTTTTGTTTCTATTTTAACCAACAGTAGGGAGGTTAGTTTCCCTCAGGAAATGGAGCAACTGAAGAGAAATTAAGGAGGAAAATAAAATGCCATACTATAAAAAAGAATAGTCACTTAAAAGCAATCAAAATGACTTTAACAGCAAGACTTTTTCACTTATTCAATAAATATTTACATCCTTTAGGCAAGAAACTGATATTTGACACAAATAAAGTAATTTTTACTTATAAGCTTTCTAAGCAAACTTGAAAGAAAGAACATTTGGCATGTGTATGTGAAAGTATTAAAATTGTCCCTTTAAAAATAAATTCTATGCCATTTTTCCAGTTTTTCTATCTTTAACCACTTTTTTCCAAATCAGTAAGATTCCCATATTTCACACTATTCTCTGGTTATATCAATTTAACAAAATATTGTACTTACTCTTCTTCGATTTTCACCTTCTTCTTGTCTTTGCCTTTTCCTCTTCTCTAAAGACAGAAATATGGCCTCAAATTTCAGGTAATAGAACTTAATTAGATATAGAGTAACTGATGTAAAGTTATCAGGGTAGAACTAAAAGTTCTTATAAATTACTACAAAATTAAAAGTAATGCTAGAAAGGATCTAGGGGAATGTCGTCTCTGTTTTTGTTAGAGGTGGCATTTGTAATCTTGTCTAAATAAATTTAGTGAAGGAAAAAGTTCTCCCTGGTAGTGACCTGGAAGTTATTTCTCTGTACTCTCTAAGTACAGAGAAGTAAGGATGTATGTTTCATCCTTCTTTTTTTTGTTTTTTTTTTTTTTTTTGCTGGTCGTGGGGCCTGAACTCTGGGCCTGGGCGCTGTCCCTCAGCTCTTCAGCTCAAGGTTAGCGCCCTACCACTTGAGCCACAGCACCACTTCTGGCTTTTTCTGCTTATGTGGTGCTGAGGAATCGAACCCAGGGCCTCATGCATGTGAGGCAAGCACTCTACCACTGAGCCACCTTCCCAGCCCTTCATCCTTACTTCTAAACTAAGTTCGTGCCTTCTTTGTATATAATTGTTTCCCTTATTCATCTGTGCAGGTTATATACTCAGTGTTTAGGATATCTCCCCACATCTTAGGACATGCCTCCAATTTATCATGCTTATTTGTGAGAATCTTGGGTCCTGTTATTAGATCAGGTGAAGTCTAATCAATGCAACCATTAAACCATTAGAACCATTATATCAACCAGATTCTACTTTCACATTGGTAGACCAATGCCCACAGATAAGATTTCTATCACCATCATACTATCACTTGAGTATAGGTAAATTTAGTACATTCAACTTTGTGATTAGATTGTAGAAGAATGTTATATATTCTAATAATAACCAAATTCTCACATCAATGATCATCGCATTGAAAGAAAATAGTCCTGGTTTGAATCATTTACCATGCAGTATCAAATTGATAATTCTTTAAATTTATATTTATAGTAATCGGCAGCTATGTTTTGACACAATCATGGAAACAACTCTTTTATAGTTTAGATGTTAAATGTCCTTCAAAGATCTATATGCTAAAGTTTTAGTCATCAGCATATAGCACTATTTGAAGATGGGGTAGCCTTTAGGGGATAGAGCTAGTGAAAGGAAGGAAGGTCACTTTGTCATGCTCTTGAAGGAAATACTTAGATCCCACCCTTCCCATGTATTTCTTTGCTTCCTGATTTCCATGAGGAGATATGGTTTCCTCTATCCCAGGGCTTACCACCAAATTGTATTGACACAGGTCCAAAAGCAGAGGGAGCATGTGACCATGGACTAAACTTTTAAAACTGTGAGTCAAAATATGCATTTCCTTCTTGTAAGGTGTTTATCTCAAATATTTGGTAAAAAAACAAAAACAAAAACAAAAAGCTGATGAGCACAAACTAAAATTTGGTTTAGTTACAGACCTAATAATTATGCTATAAAATTTCTTACAGATGTGTTTCTAATTATTTTTGGTTTTTGCACTTTTGAACTCTCTTTTCTTAAGAAAGCTAAATGTGTATTTTGGGCTTAAAAGCACTGTATAACTTTATAAGACCTTAAGATAGATGAAAAGTCATTTATAAATTATTCAAACATTAATTTTGTATTTTGAATCTTAGCACTTAATATTTTCTGTTCATTTACTTTAAAAGACAAATCTTACCTCGTCTGATTAATTCCTTTCCTTCATCAACTAAGTCTGATGTCATATCATTATCTCCCATGAACTGTTGGAAACCAAGCAGATTCAAGCAACGGGTTCCTAAACTAATAAAAGCAGATGTTCAAAAGATAAGCATTGCTTCCTAATGTAAATATTCAGAGAAATTATTATTGAGTATTGCCACCCACAAAAAAACTTATGGTACATAATTAGTTATCATGGCAAGTTACAGAGTGTTATATCCTATATATTCTTGAAGAAGTACTATTTCCCTATCTAAGAAGTTTTTCCTAGTATTTTCCTAGTATAGGGTGTGGATTACACCCAGATTTCTTATGCAAGTAAACAAGGTCAAGCCATCAGTATATCTTCATACACAATTATACCAGGATTATACAATTATGTAATGGTTATATTACAAGAATAATGTTATTTTTATATTCAAACAGCAACTTTAATACTGAAACATACTGTAAATCTAGTATTTCAAGTGTAGGATATTTTGGGTTAGAAAGTCTTTATTATATGAATTTATTTTCATGTTTTATTTTTTCCCTAAGGACTAGTCAGCTCTTAATAGCTCTTGATTATGTACTATAAAGTGATTACTATATCTCAACTGTGGCTATCAATTCCCATTTGATTTGCTATTTACTTTAAATCTGACTGTTGTGCAGGAAAACAGTATTCTGAATGTACAGCAGATTTAAAAAAAAGAAGCAAGAGGTTGATAAAGTAGCATTAATTTGTTAAGATTCTACTGTGCATCAGATAGTTCATAGGTATTATATTCAATCCTTACTATATCCTAAAAAAATGTTACTTATACATAAGCAAACAAGTTCAAGAGACTAAACAGACACTTAAAGATAGCTTAATAAATTACAGATCTGAGATTTAAGTCCAAGATTTAAAAAAAAACCCAAGTTCTTTTTATTGTACTTAGTTCTTAAACTTTTTCACTGATGTACTTCTAATAGCAGAAACCTGATACAAACATGTAGAGAAAGGCAAAGATAAAGGAAAGATGGAAGGAAAAGCGTGTAAAAAAAGGAAAAGTGTAAATAAAACAGAAAGACAGCAAAAGTGAAGATCTCCATTTTCCATTAAAAATGGGTAAACATCTGCCTGATTCAGAATATATGTGCTTGTTTTATATATTAAAAATGTTTTACATGAATTATCACTGAGTGAATGTGAAGTTTTCAGGCAGATAATCATGCTATTTTTGTGACTTTAAATAATCCTTTATTATAATTATACCCTTGTAGGAATACTATGTACCAGGATACATACTAGTACTAGTCTTTGGGAAAGTCTTATTTTTCTATAAAGTATCAAGAAACAACCTTATCTTAGCTAGGCAGCTAAGGCTAAGTATTAGCTATGGGCATAACTGTACGCTTCTAATGTAGGAATTAGACTAACATGGCAAATGATTTTTTTTTTTTGGCCGGCCGTGGGGCTTGAACTCTGGGCCTGGGCGCTGTCCTTTAGCTCTTCAGCTCAAGGCGAGCGCTCTACCACTTGAGCTACAGCGCCACTTCCTAACATGGCAAATGAAACATATAAAGCTGAAATGTTACTAAGACATTGCTTCACATACTTATATAAGAGGATACTTAATTTGAAAACTGAGGAATATGACCTTTTTCCCTAAAGGTAAAATGGCATTCAACATTATACTAATTAACAATTCAAAAGTTTTCTTTTCTTTTTTCTTTTCCTCCTTCCTTCCTCTTTTCTCCTTTCCTTCCTTTCTTTTCTTCTTTCTCTTCTCCTCTCCTTTCCTCTCTTCTCCTTTCCTCCCTCATCCATTCCCTTTCCTTCCCTCCTATTTTCTCCTTTGTTTCTTTGGCTTTCTTTCTCCCTTCCTTCTTTCCTTCCTTTTCTATCTTTCCCTCTTCACACTTTTCCTCCATCCCCCACTCCGTCCCTTCAATTTCCCTTCTCTTTCCTTTTTCCCTTTCCCCTCCTCTTTTCTCCCTTCCTCCTTCTCTTCCCTCCCCCTTTCTTTGTAACTGTCCTGTTAGATATAATGTTCCTTTACAATTAAGATTTTTATGGCTGACAAAGTACTATTGTAAATCAGAACATCATAAGTACTAAGATTTCGTCTCAAATGCTAATACTGCCAATATAACTATTAATATAGAAAGACATCATTTATATTTTATAAGCTTTTAGTGTTCCATAAAACATGTAAATTCTTAAATGAGTAAATAGTTAATCAAAACTTAGTTTTGTATGTACAATGTATGCTTACTCTCTTCTTTTAATACATCATTTTCGCAGTACAAGTCTGTTATTATCTTTTCTACCTTAAAGGAAAAATTCAAAATATTAGTTTTGCTATCAGTTCATATTAACAATACTATTTTATTTCTTTAGTGGCACTAGGGTTCAAACTCAGGGGACTATGTGCTTGCTTAGCTTGCTTGCTTAGCTCATGCTCCACTAATTGAACCACACCTCTGTCATGTTGTTTTGCTGGTTATTTTGGAGATGTGATATTGTAGATTTTTCTACCCAGGCAGCCTCAGGATCTCAGACTCATGAGTAACTAGGTTACAGATCTGAGCCATGGGTGCCTTTCTAGCAGTATTATTTTTTTATCATACTCTTCTAGCTTTTTATTTATCATAAATTAAAACAAAAGTATTTTAAAAATTGAGACAGAAGTTCTTTTAAATAATTTCTGCTTTCTAATTACCCTAATATTAGTATATTTTATTTATAATAATGATAAAGTGATATTTAGTTTTTAAACAGAAGTAAAATGATAAAATTTATTTGCATTAGAAAAACAAACTGATTCTAACAGGGTGCTAGAAGCCAAACATACCTATCATTTAACTCATTTTGAATCTTACCTCTGCCAAATTCTACTATCTTCTCTAATTCCATAAAAAAAAGAGCAGTCCATATACTTTCAAAAGTAAGAGGAGGTTTCTTCTTCAGCCCTACACATACATCTTGATTATAATTGTTCCCCTTCTAACCCTTTGCGCTGTCCATGGTCTGAAGCATCTAGAAATCCAGCGATAATTATGGAGAAACCCCAAAGACTGAGTTGTTTTGTAAGAGAATACAGGAATGAAGGAGTTTTACAAGCTACAATGCCAATCATTATCACAAGGAAGACTTATGAGTTAACATTCTGTAATTACATACTTTGAGGCTTAAATATCGTGAAAGAATAACATAACTTTAAATTTTTATTAAAGAAAGAATATGACCTAATCACTCAAGTAGTCCCTTCAAACAGCTCCTTCCCCCAAGCCACAATAAAACAAAACCCAACCAAGTAAATATTTAAAAGATTTTTAGGCAAAAAGAATATCTAGATACAACTAAATATGAGAAAAAATAGTATTATATAAGTTTCTTACCTAAAATAAGTTGCAATGCAGAGGATTACTACCAACATAGGGTAATATATGTAGAATCCATCTGCAATAAAGGATAAAACTTTCATGGAACCCATAATCTGAAAAGCAAGAAAAAAGTAAGTTAAATAAACATAGTTTTATATTTTCATCCTTTTCATCATTAGAAAATTTGCTTATAACAGAACTGTCAAGGATTTCTACTAAGGAAAACACATGTTTAATAAGTATCATTCAAAAGCACATAAAGACTATAAATACAAAAGCTGATAATACTACAGATGAAATCTTTGGATACTATCCAGCAAAACAACCTATATGAACTAAAAAACTTTTTCATAATAAGATATGCAAAAACACTTTAATTCAGTCATTAGTGATTATAATTGTTTAAGTTGTAGTTATTAAAAAGGAATCCATTAATGCTATAAAACTTTTGTAATAGTATTGAAAGAAATTTGACAATAACATCTCATATAATGAAATTAAAGAAATCCATTTTCTGACTGTACTTACAGATGTATAAGCAGTTGGCTGAGTATTCTGGTGAGAGATGGATGCATCCATATGGGTCAAACCCAAGAAATTAAGACATAATGGAGGAGTCAAACGGCAAAACAACCTGCAGTCGACATTAAAAAGATCGATCATGCAGTAAAATATATCTTAAGTTATAGAGAAATGTATTAAAATATTTCATATCATCCTAACTATATTTGCCATATATGTATATATATATATATATATATATATTATATAATAATTTTTAAAGTGAATTGGTCTTCCCTGGGAAACATCTTGAAAATCCTATTAAGCACACTTCCCTCAAAAATATTGGTATTTACACAGTAGAACAACTGCATCCTCAGGCTGCCTGCTATGATGGTATGTGTCACTGCTCTATCACTATGGCTTGTGGACAGACCTTACATATATCTCCTTCGGCTTCACTATCCGTGTGCCTGTCTCACAGTATGACAAGGACAGTAGCATTCTCAAGGGGAACTGTACTCAGAATATGAAGTTTTTTAAGTTACTATAGCAAAGGGTAGCATCCAGATAGGTACAACTATAAAGAAGGGTTTAGTTTGTCCCAATAAAAGGAATACTTTATAAAATTACAGAGTTGGAGAACTGAAAGATAGAATAATGTAAGGATGTAACCATTAAGAGGTAATATGAGAAAGTTCTTTCATGCTGACCAAACATATCCTGATGGTAACATTGGCTGCAGGATTGAAAAATTGTGATAAATCTGTAGTGTGTTTAACAATAGTGTTTTAAGGTAAATTTTCTCATTTTGATATTGTACACAGATATAAAAAAAAAAAATCACCATTAGCAGCTAGGTACAGTAGTTCACTCCTGTAACACTAGCTACTTAGGAGGCAGATACCATGAGGACTGAGCCTTAAAAGTCAACCCGGGTAAAATATCCCTAAGACCCAATCTTAACTAATAAAAACCTGACATGGTGGCATGCACCTGTCATCCCAACTACCTTGGAAGCATAGATAAGATTATTACAGTTCAGGCCTGCACAGCCATATTCAAAATAAAAACTAAAGCAATAAAAGAGCTAGCAGTATGACTCACATGTTAGAGTACCTGCCTAATAAACTCACTATAGAAGAAAGAGGAGAAATCGAAGATGATATTACATTAGAAGAGGTTGGCAAAGGTTATATAGGACACCAGTAACCTGCAACTTCCTATAAATTCATATTATGGTTTAAATATGAAATGTTCCTCACTAGGGTAAAGGCATGGTCTCCATCTGGTGATGCTATTTTGGGAGGTGGTAGAAACTTTAAGAGGTGGGGCTTAGCTACAGAAAGTAAGTCATAGGGAAGATGCTACAGAAATATGTACTTAGTCTCAGTGTGTGTGTGTGTGTGTGTGTGTGTGTGTGTGTGTGTGTGTGTGTGTGTGTGTGTGTGTGTGTGTGTGTGCGCACGCACGCGCGCGCGTGCACGCATATGTATGTTTTGTGGCTGCCATGAGGTGATTATTAGCGCCCTGCCATGCAAAAGCAATGGGACCTAAATACTATGGATTGAAACTTCTGAAAGTGTGTGTCAAAATAAATCTCTCACTGGGCACTGCCTGTAATCCTAGCTATTCAGAAGGCTAAAATCTGAAGATAACAGTTCAAACCCAGCTTGGGCAGGAAGAGCTAAGGGACAGCATCCCGGCCCAGAGTTCAAGCCCTGCAACCGACAAAATAAATAGATAAATAAATAAACCTCTCAAACTGTTTATGTCAGACACTGTTACAGCAACAAGAAACTGACTACTAATACAGTCCATAATTATTTGCTAAACAAAGAAGTTTTAAAGATGCTTCCAAAGTAGACTCTGGTATCTCACACCTATAATTCTACCCCTGAAGGATCAGAGTTAAAAGGAAGCTCGGCCCATGGTTTCCCTTATTTGCAATATCTAGTATATGTCTGAGTCAAGCAGAAAAGGTCAGATAAGGTGATGTTAGGGAAATGAACCCTAAGATAAATATTCAAATGTTTTTTTTCTTTCAGGTGATTGTTTCTAACACATTTATAAGATTATTTCTTTGTTGCTTTGTATGTCCCTCCCCCACAGTATACCCCTGCTTTCACTGTATTTGATGTCAGTATAATTTGTGGAGGGGAAGGGGAAAAACAAATCATTTAAATAGGGATACAGGTGGACCCACTGCAACATTGAGATGTACAAGTTGTTATGTTGAAAACGAAAACTTTACGACTTTGGTGGGGGGGGGGGGGCGGGGAGGATTGGATGGGGGCCGGGGGAGGATGGGAAGGGATGAGAAGGGAAAACAAAGGAGGAGGCTACAATGCTTGATAAGAAATGTACTCATTATCTTACTCATGTAATTGTAACCTCTCTGTATAGTATTTTCACAAAAAAAAAAAAAAAAAAGGAAGCTTGGTAGAAAAGTCCAAGAGATTCCATATCTAATTAATCAGGAGAAAAAAAACCAGCTTGGAGTTACAGCTCAAGTGGTAGACAACTATGAGCAAGCAAGCTGAGCACAAGGCCTAAGTTCAAGTCTCAATAATGTGTGATCATGCATATACACATGATGTTTCCCTATCAATCCTTCTATGAACTTCACTGATAACAGCCCTTACAAATACCTTATATGACTAATTTAACAAAAAGGGATAATAGATGGTGCAACCTAGCCAAAGCTAGAGCCATCTCACTCAATTCTCTCTAAATTCCACAATAAAAATTGTTCCTATTGTTTTTTTCAGTCCTTTTCAATTCAGACAAGACTACTGACTTTCAAAACACTCTCCAGGTCTGACTTAGTCTCTAAACACAATTGCTTATATTCCTTACTTACCTATATTTTAAATCTCTAATTGGTAAGGTCAGGTTATGTTTTTTTTTTCTTGTAATTTAGCCTTAGACAAAATCTAGTTGGTAATCAACGAACACTAACATTTAAAACAAATCAACTAGCTTATAGAAATACTCATGCTAATGCAACATCCATGAACAAGAAATAAAAGAAAGGATCAATAGTACATTCAAGGGAGATATAGCTCATTTTTAAAGTGAATGTTACTTACATGCCACTGAAAAGAAGACTGTAAGCATCGGTCTGGTGATGAGAAGCCAAGTAATAATAGTTAAATACACGAATCCTGAATACAGTAGAATAAACACAGATACTTAGAAAGAAGATGGAAAGGAAGCAAGCAATCTGAAACAGAACAACAAAAATAAAGTTGAGAACTAATAGACTTCATTACTTTACATACTGATACAAGCCTTACTTTTCATTTTCAGTTAATTTGTTATCTGAGAAAAGTGAGAGCTAATAGGAGTAGAGAAGATGGAGAGAGAAATAGAGGAGAATATAGTCATAATACTATGTGAAAATGGAACCAGGAGGTAGATGGGGTTGGGAAAAATGGAAAGAGAATGATGAAGAGGTGACACTGATCAAGATGCAGTGCACATATAAATAGTAATTTGGAACCTCTTTGTACAACTACTTGAAGATAATAAAAAATAAATAACCCAAGAAAATGAAATCTTTTTAAAAAAATCTATATTTTATATCAGTTCAATAGTCTAGATCCAAATGTGTCAAATTCCCCAAATACGTTGCTTTCCACTTCCCTTGGCAACTCTTCACATGAAGGCCGTTAAGTGATGACCTTACTGACATGAGAATCAAAATAGTCTCAAAAAATAATTTTGTACTATCTTCTTGTACCTTTTCACCACTCTTCATATATAGTTCTTAATATTTATAGTAAATTAATGAAAGCTATTTCTGGAAGTCTGAATTACAACACTGTGGGAAACATCACTGCTTATTATTACTAGAACAAATATTTGAGAACAGATATAATAGTTAAGTATTATACATGAACTGACATATATCTAGGATAGAAAGGAAATAAACTGACCTCAATATAAATATAATTGTATGTTTTTTCTGCAAGTTGGATGAAGACTGCAAACAGGGATAAGACAGGAGTTGTGCTAAAGAATGTGCACTCTGACCACACAACAATCACAGAGAAGATGGATAACACCACAGCAAGTATCCTGTAAAACCATGGTCTCAAAAGACATTCCCAGTACCACTCTGGAAGATTAAAAAAATACATACAGTTAAGCAACTGAAAAAGTAACAGGGCATTTTTCACTGCTTCAAAATGGCCAACAGATAATTACAACAGATAATTACAATTTACAGTAGAGAAATCAGGCTGACATTGTTTTTGCTAAAGAATCACCAGAAATGGAATGAATGGGTAGTCCATGTGTTTCCTTCCATGATTCACTGAGAATACAACATAATTGCCAAGGTACTTCTGTGAAAGATGTATAAACTGTATCTAATTATGAGGACATACTGTACTCAAATTCAAGGATGTTCAACAACAAAAAAACTGCCCTGTACCCACCAAAAATATGTTGTAAAATATATATAAGACTGGGAAACCACTTCAGATTAAGAAGACTGAGAAGATCTAGGAAGTTTTTTCAAATAATATCACTAAGGTAATAGGACAAAATATAGACAAGGACTATAAGTAATAGTATAACACCAATACTAATTTCCTAATTTTGACAATCATAATTATGAAAACATATCTTTATTTTTAGAAAATATACACTGAACCACTTAAAGACCAAGAGGCATCATCTCTGGATACAATTCTAAAATATTAAGGGGGAAATATACAAAGATAAAGCCTTGCATATGAGAGTATTTTGTGAGATTCTGATTTATTAAGTCTAAATTAATAATATTTGAACATCTATATGATGCTGGGGCTTGAACCCAGGGCCTCATGCATGCCAGGCAAGTTGTCTTTCATTGAGATATACCTCCAAACAAAACTGTATTTCTGTTTTATGCACTGAAAAATGAGCTCCTGGCTCACTGTAAGACATTTTACCTCTACCCTTAACATAATTCCTGGTGGTTTAAATATCCATGTAGGTAAATCTTTCAACAAGTTGCTCTCTTATACCTTCCCTTCCCATCCTCTCCTCTAATGATCTTGTCCTCCACTCTACCTCAATGACTCATTCTAGATCTTCCCCTAAATCTTTTATTGCCAACAGCTTCAATCCTTCCATATAAAGTAATTCCATCATCCTTATCTCCAAGTGGTACACTTATTTATATTCTGACTACTGATATGTTACTTGGACCAACAAAACATTCTATGCCTTTTTAACATTATCAAACAACTCAATGTCTTTATTTCTTCCTTATCCACTTCAGATTACAGTTTTTTTGAGGATATCCTCTCTCCAGTATCCCAGTTCCTGTAACACTGGAGAAGAAACACACACAACTTTAGGGTCTGGTTTCCAAGTTCTTTTTTTTTTCTTTTTGCCAGTATTGGAATTGGAACTCAGAGTCTTGGCCCTTGCTGTACTTAACTTGCTCAGTTTTGCTTGTTCAGCTGGTGTTCTACCACATGAGCCATGCCAGCAGCCCAGCCTTTTGCTGGTTATTCTTTTTGCTGTAATTCTCCAATATTTCATGGGCAACTGTTTTGTCTAGGGAAAAACTCCTTCCCTATACTTATTCTCAGTATTTCCCTAAGGAAATCGAAGTGATCAGAAGAAAATTTCCCCACATTTTCACCACTACATCTTTCCAGTGCCTAAGATACATCTATGCCCTTCCTGTAATATAATACTATGCTCTTCATTACTATCTCATGTCACCTCTCTTACTACTCATAAACACTTTCCCATAATTCTTTACTACCTCATTAACCATCCTTTCTTTATAATGCCAGTCCTGTATTACCTTCTTTACTTTTTTTTTTCATACCTTACCCCTAATCCTCCACCAGTACTCCTTTCTCTGTTTTTGAAAGGAAAAACTCCCACTGGCTTCAATTGTTTTCCTATTTCTTATATTTTCCAATAAGGCTAACTCTTTCCTACCTTATTACTCTGAAATCTAATCATCAAGTATTATTCACAATATTACCATTTTGCATCATTCAAGCAGGTACTTTACACACCTTTTTTTCTCAGAATACTGGGTTTTCCTCCTATCTCACTGGCAACTTTTGGTCTTTTCTGCTGTTCTTCCCAATTAATGTAATCTCTAAAGTCAGATTGCCATCGACTTGGACTTTCTCTCTTTTCTACCCCTAATACTTCTTGACCCATAACTAACTACACTAATGGCTTACTAATTTAAATTTCCATCCTAAATTTCTATCCCTAACTATCTACTTAACATCCTTATTTATACTGTCATATGTTTATTAACTGTTTTACTCCATAGAACAGGGATTTTTGTCTCTCTTAATTTATGTGCTCTGAGCACTCAATTATACATAGCATTTATATATGTTGAATCACTCCTAAATTTAACTAGAAAAAAAAATTTCTTAAAGAAGTTTTCTGACATATTTGTCCTGGCTATTGTTTCCACACTAAAGACCAAACACACAAAAAAAGCATCAAGTTAATGTAACAGCTTAAATAAATAAGATTATGTTAACTACAGGGTGTAGGTTTTATAAATAAGACTCATAAGTGTAGTAACTAAGTATAGCATCTTAAGGGAATATTTAATAGTATGTGAAGCCTAAAGAAAACTCAAACCTGTAATATAAAATTGCTTACAACTATATTTTATGCATATACAAAATAAGATTGAGGTACTGCATATATGTTATATAGAATTTTAATTATTTAAACTAGCAGTAGAAACTGATGGATATGCTCTATGACAAATAAAGCAGTTATCAGATATACAATATTATCATATTGCATAAATCAAATAATACAAGGAAACTTCAGTTTTGCATTGGTGAAAATATAGTATTTTTTTTCCTAAAGAACAAATGATTAAATTTTGAAATTTATGTTAAATTACATACCAACTGTAGGATTATAAAAATACTGAATAAACCGATTTTCTGGCTCTGGGGATTGAAACGTGTGAACAAACTGATGAGTGGCACTAGTTTCATTTTTTGCTACATCCTCCAGATAAAATGCTTGTTCCAAAAGAATTTGCCATTGCACTTGAGTTCGACGGTGCCTCTGTACTGAATAAATCACCTACAAAAGAGAAAGGAGATACATCTATCAATGTGATCCAACAGTGGGTCCTCATGGTGCTAGGGAATGTTTTTAGTTTATCTGTGTTTGTTTCTTCATGGAATGGTGCTAGCAGTATTTATTGGGTGGGTCAAAGATGTTAATATATTTAAATGATGTAATGCTTCTAATGCCTCCTTCCCAATTGACAAGACAGCCTGATCCAGCGAGTTAAAGTTAATACATTTCAAAGAATAATCAAAAGATGTTTTAGGGACTAAAGAAGTAGCTCAAGCAGCAGGGTGCCAGCCCTGAGTGAAAAAGCTGAGTAAGAGTACAGACCTTAAATTCAAGTCCCAGTACAAGGGGGGAAAAAAAAGTTAAAAAAAAAAAAAAATAGTTCAGGATTCATACAAAATTCCTTTTTGTGAGCAATAATAATAAATCTAATTGAAATCATTTAGCTGTAAGTAAAATAGCTATAATGTTACCTGTTTATGTAGTTTCACTAGACTTTTTTCACTTGGGTAAGTATTGCGCTTTTCATCAAAATCTTCATAATCATCCATGTTCCTACCCATTTTTTCTTGATACTCTGTAGGACACTAAAAGAAACAACCAGATTTTATAAAAAACTTAAAAATATATGATAAACTATTTTTATTAAAAATCTGTCACTCTAAGCCAGGCACCAGTGGTTTATGCTACTCAGGAGGCTGAGATCATGGTTCAAAGCCAGCCTGGAAGGAAAGTTGTGAGACTCTTATGGCCAATAAACCACTCAGAAAACTGGAAATGGCGCTGTGACTCAAGTGGCAGAGTGCTAGCCTTCAGCTGAAGAGCTAAGGGACAGCCCAGGCCCAGAGTTCAAGCCCCAGGACAAAAAAAACCAAAACTGTCACTTTAGCATTTCTAATCTTCTCAAAAACATCTTCCTTTTGGTATCTCTAAGTGAAGTTTTATTTGCTAATATTTTATGACAATGTTTTAAAAGATAAATTGGGCTTTCTTTTGCCTTTATTAATGTTGGTTTTTATGCTCAGATAATTCTGGGTATTAGTAAAGGCAGAGAGTTTATCTCCAGGAAACAATTTGTATTTGAGAAGATGTTTATTATTAGAAACTTGATAAAAACTGTCAATTACTTTCCTAGCTAAAACATAAAGACACAATATTCACAATTTCTGAAAAGCATAATACAGATAAACACATACACAATTTGGACTATTTGCCATACTATTAGTCATTTATTACATGAACTTGGGCAAAAAAAGTTAATCTCTTTGAATAGGACTTGAAAAGTAGCACATATGGAAGAAATGATTAGAAACTAATATTTTAGCCAAAATAATAGTTAACAATTTAGCTAATGGTCAATACAACAGATTTAAAACAGTAAAAAAAACGTATTTTAGTGGTTCTGTAGGTGCATAAAAGACAAATGGGAGCTTTACAACTAAGTGCTTTTAGAAGAGTAAGTTACCCCTAATTCAATACCACTGTATCAAAATCGTAATTGCATGACTACTTATTTAAATCATTATATCATAAATTATGTATCTCATAATGCTACTGATTTTGTGATATATGAAAAATATCATCAGATCACTAGGAAGCTGATCAGAGATTACTGAGGAACCAGTATATTTTCTTATAGAAAATATGACTCTAATGATGAATGATGGTATCTTAAATGTTGATCCCCATCACTGTTACAGCAGTTACGTTACTCAATATCATCTCTATCTCCACATTTCAATGGAAAAGACTATCAATAATTACCATCAAACTTGTAGTAACAAAAGAAAAAAATCCAAGTATACTACTGACTTAGTTAATATTTCCATGAAAATGCATTAGGAAGCCTACCTCTGAGAGGCTTTTTAAATACTTTTCTGATTTTTTATGGAATACTAATTTATGCAATAGATAAGTATACATTTCATATGAAAATAAATGTAATTTAGTTACCTTTTTAAGTATGGTGTCAACACATTTTCTCAATGGGTGGTTATATTTGATGCTTTCATTTACTTTACGAACCTCCTATTCAAAACAGTAAGAAAAATAATATTTCTATTTCTGCAGATTAACATTTCAAGTGAAAATACATTAAATACTATTTATTCTCACAAGTTTGATTTTAATTAACTTAGCATTAAATGAAATTCTTTTCACTGATACAAGTTCTTAGGGAGTAAAAACACAAAGTACTTAAATTGCTATATTTATATTCAAATACTTTTTTATTACTTCCTAAATTTGCTATCTTATCATTTGCTTACCCTGTATACAAAAACAGTTGAGCATTATAAAAAAGTTCACAATGATTTAATAAATTTTGTGTGCTTAAAAAAATAGGATTATAGTAGTCTACTTGCTCATTAAGATCAATTATCTTCATTATCAGTTAAGAAAAACAAGGAGTCAGAAGAAACAACTAACTTCACAAGTCTTTCCTCTCCAAAGAATAGTAGTCACAACTGATTTTTCCTTCACATTTGCTTATTTAGATCACAGTTTACAGAAACACTGCTAGCTACAAGACCAACATAATCCAACACAGACAGTAGGGTAGAAGAGGATATTATAAGTCTTTGAATGAAACTACTGTCTAATAGGAGGTATTAAGTAAGTAATTTAATGAGTACTAATGAGTTAAGTAATCTTTAAAAGTAGTATTTCCTAAGGAATTAAATGTTCTATAATATTTATGAACAAAAATACAAGTTACCACTACTCTAGACAGAAAAAGCAGCATGCCATGTCCTAGGCCTCAAGAGAGAACTGGCTGGGATATTAAGAACAACATTTTAACTGCAGAATAGAAAAAAGCTTTCAAAGATACAGACCTGTAGTCAAAGAAACCATTTAACAAAATTGTGAATGGATGTTTATAACTTATATGACCAAGAACTCAGCTAAAAATAATCTCTCCTGGTTCTAGTATATTTTTCAATACACATAAAATACCTATGATATATAAAATATATACTAAGTAACTGTTTATCAGAAAAGTTTTTCAATAGCCAGTAATTAGTAATTAAGTTTTTAGGGGGTCAAAAGTTACATGAAATTTCCAGTTGCAGAAGGTATTAGTGCCCCTAAACTCTCCATTATTCAAGGGTCAATTGTATACTGATAATATGAAGTAATTAGAAAATATTAGTCAAAGAAGTCTGCATAAATGTTATTATTATCACCATTATCGAATCCAAGGAACCAAAGTGGAGTGTTAGATAAATATTAAGTCTACAGAATGGATTACTATACTGCACTGGCAACCACAGGAATCATCAAAGTGACCGGAGTCAGGTAGCTAGAGGCTTAGATAGGACAGGAGAGCTACATATGGGCCAAATTATTATATAGGCCACACTGAAACACTTGAGTTTATTCTAACATGAAGGAAAAGCTTTTTCAACCTGAGGTTTTATGTTAAAAAGTAACATCCTCAAAGAAAGAGATTATTGTTAATCTCTTCAAATCCATAATCAAATTATTACTTACCATGGCAAAATTTTTGTAATTTGTTGTATATGTTTGTGAGCAATATTGAAAGTATTAATTTTTGAGTTACATTCCCAACTTGATGAAGTTGATTCATATCAACTGCATGTCACAAATGAATAAAAGGAAATTCCTTGTTAAAATTACAAACAATATTTGTTGGTACAAACTCCAATGCAAATTGTTCTCTAAAAAGGTTTCCAAACTTGGTAGAACTGCCTTGGGTTACACTGTCTAAGGAAGAAGTATATTCTGATTATTGATTTTGCTTCCAACGTTTGAGTAATTATATAACTTGCTGTCTAATCTGGGAGGCTTTTGAGAGTGAAAGAAAGCATTAATAAAAGTTACCTCAAAATAACAGACATACCCCTATACTTCTGAATATAGTTTCCCTTTATCTTTGCCAGTTAAAAGATAGAGATGACCTCTCAGGAGCTTGAAATTCCATAAGAAGTCAGCCTAGAGAGGAGATGATATCACATTTGTGACTGAAGTCCATTGATGTGTAACAGCAACAAGAAAATAATGATGAAAATAAATTACACACAACTTGTTAACTTCTGCTCTTGTAAGATTTAAATTTGCTTGATTACCTCCATAACATCCTCTAAATTCTCTTCTGCATCTGCTTTCTCTGTCATCAGTTTGGCTGCCTTAAAATAAGTCTTCATAAGTAGATAACCCTTTTTTGCTCCATTCCAATATGAACGAGGAATTTCCACCAACCCATACCCTAACAACAACACGAGAAGAAAAAGACCCCATGTATTGGCAGCAGCTATCCCGATTGTCTGGAGTTGGTTCCTAAGAAAGAGAAGACATAAGCAGATTGCAATAGTAAATACATTTCCAATAAAGTCTAAAAAACAAAACCTAACAAGTATTAAATGTTTTTTACAGAAAGCTACCTTAAAAGATGGTCAACATTTCATATGAAAAAAATTAGACTTTTATAATCCCAAGTACTTTTTTTTTCAGTCACAGCAGATAATTTGTGTACTTAATGGGAAGCTTGAGTATAAGTGCAAACAATGGTATTTCACACAGGAAATTTTGCTGCTACTGAAATTAAAATTAGAATCTAAGATAATTCATGACAAAATATGTATATGTTCTCCAAAAATACTTATGCGTATTTGATTATTCAATATTAATGAAGAAAAGCCTGCAAGTTTTTTTTTGTTTTTGGTCCAGTTGTGGGGCCTGAACTCGGCCTGGGCGCTGTCCCTCAGCTCTTTAGCTCAAGGCTAGCGCTCTACCACTTGAGCCACAGCGCCACTTCCAGCTTTTTTCTTTTTACTTATGGGGTGCTGAGGAATTGAACCCAGAGCCTCATGCATGCAAGGCAAGCACTCTACCACTGAGCCACCTTCCCAGCCCCAAGCCTGCAAGTTTTAAAAAATTAATTTGTGTTAAGGTAGACATACACAAATCGCAGAATGCAACAGTGAGGCATACCCCTACTATTCCATTCCTAAATTTTCAAATCTAGCTCTCCAAAAGTACAAAATAGAGATCAGTTTACTAAAATACCTTAATGTAAATAAATACTAAGGACAAATATGACCATCAAAACAAAAGGAGAAAAGTAAAAACATTCCAATCAAATAGAAAACCAGGTATTTGTTTTCTTTACATCTGAAATTATATCTAAAATTGTTATTTCTTTTAACATGTAGTTATTAGTCAAAGCATTAATCAATTACCTAAGTTATATTTAAAGATGTTATTATCCCATATATTCTTTTTAGTGATATGGATTATGTAAACATTCCCTCATCAATTTGTCAAACATACAATTCGGTTATATTTCTCAGTGAAAGGTCTGTTAACATACATGTGTGTCTAATAAAAATTAATACTAAAAAGTACAAAGCCCCTTCAGCTTCAAGCCTGACCAAGGATATAAACACTCTAAACTTTTCTTTATGAGATAACACACTTATACTTCTAAAAGCACTTTTCTAGTCTAATAAGCTATTACTTAAAAAAAAATTATTACATTCATTTAAAATAATAAACTAAGTAAAAAATAAAAATAAAAGTGCAGCTGGGTGCTGGTGGCTCATGCCTATAATCCTAGCTACTCAGGATGCTGAGATCTGAGAATCATAGTTCAAAGTCAGCCTGGGCAGGAAAGTCTCTGAGACTCTTCTCTTCAATTAACCACCAGAAAATTGAAGTGGCACTGTGGTTCGAAGTAGTGGAGCATTAGCCTTGAGCAAAAAGAGCTCAGGGACAGAGCCCAGGTCCCAAGTTCAATCCCCATGACCATCAACAACAAAAGTCAAACATAAGTTTTTTAAAATGTTTTAATGAGAGTGTTTTTCTTACCATTCTAAATGCAAACGTGGATTTACAGCTACATATATTAAGAATGCTCCAAAAATCAGCAAATAGGTGCCATAGTAGATTGCATTCTCAATCAATGCAGTTTTTATCTTTCCTGTAATGGAAAATCCACCAGATCTTGCATATGACTGCATAAAAGGTAACAAAATCCTAATTGGACAGAAAATACATAATTACAAAAACAATTATGTATCCATATAATCTCAAAATATCAGAAGTATATGAATCTTAATCTATTTTTCTAACTAATACAGATTGCTATGATTAATTATATGTTAATAATAAAGCAAAATAGATGACTACAATTTTTTTATTATGAAAATACTGTACAGAGGGGTTACAATTACATGGGCAAGACAATGAGTACATTTCTTATCAAGCATTGCAGCCTCCTCCTTTGTTCCCCTTCCCATCCTCCCCCCGCCCTCCCCCCACCCAATCTTCCCCACTCCCCCCCCCCCCCCCCACCAAAGTTGTAAAGTTCGTTTTCAACATAATGACTTATACATCTCATTCTTGCAATGGGGATGACTACAATTTTTAGAATATTAAAATTTGAAAAACATATGACCTAATGCAGGAGACAGAAAGGAGCATATCTTTTATCCTTCACTGACACTTACCAAGTTAAAAATTGTGATGTCCAATATACCACCCTCCAGAAAATTGGCATGATTCCATCAGGGATATAACTCCATGGTTTGAAACATGGGTGTTGTCTGTTTAATAAGAATTTAAAGTCAATTATCGATTTATTTATTAAATGAATAATATAATTTATTGGCATATGGCGAAGTTCATTTATATCAGATTAATAATTACCAACACAATTTTACAGAAAACTTAACAATCAAAGCCAACCTATCAGACTCAAAATGCACATAAATGACACAAAACACTTTGTTTTAAAAATAAGGGCTTTCTGCTCTTTTCTAGCTCTCAGCTTTTTCCTTCTCTTCTCTTTCCCAGCTCCCTTCTCTTTTCTAGCTCTCTCTCTCTGCTCTTTTCTAGCTCTCTCTGCTCTTTTCTAGCTCTTTTCTAGCTCTCTCTCTGCTCTTTTCTTGCTCTTTTCTAGCTCTTTTCTCTCTCTTTCCCAGTCTACTGAATAAACCTACCCCTTACCTGAATACCATGTGCCTGGTGCTGTTCTTACTCGCCTAAAAACCTAACATAAATGGTGCCATGACTCGGATAAAGGGCTTAAAGTCAGGATAGGTGGGATTCCTCTCTGGTTTTTTTTTCCTCTTTTTTCTTTTTTTGTTTGTTCTTCCCTTTTTGCTCTGAGGAATACCCACAGTTCTGATGGCCTTTTGCAAACCCGTCTGTCTGCTGCAGACACAGCACGTCGATACCATTGCTGCCTTCACATCCACGTCCACACCACTTCTCTACTCTGGTGAGTGAAACTACTCTCTACGGCTCTCTGTTGCGCAGTCTCTGTCCAGACGTGGTGCCACACCAGAGAGCTCCTACAGCCTTCAGCTGAAAGGCTGGTAACATCTGAAGCCGAGGACGCTTGGTTTTGGGGGCTTGGCCATTTCTCTCCAGAGGGCTCTGGGGGAAGTCAGGACGCCGCTTCTGCCTGGTCAGCTCTCCTTCACTCACCAGACTGACTTTCCTACACACTTAATGGGGTGCTGCGAGTCATACCTGAGCCGTGAAACCCCTTTGAAATGTCTCCTGTGCTCCCTGGAAAGCCAGAGAGCTTCATTTTATGCCATTCTCAGATGTAGACAGTTTTTGCCACTGCAATGGTAAATGGTCAGAAGTCTGTTTACTTTCAAGCTCTCTTTGCTCTCTCTCTGCCATTCATGTCCAACTTTCCCTATCTCTCCCTTTCTCTTTTCTACATTTTGGCTTGTGCCCTGAAGAGTGCGATGCAGGTTGGTTCCCGGGGACCCCCCTCTAGGTTCCCTCTCAAAGGCTAGACAATATAGGCTTGATCTATTTGTTCAGGGTTTCTTTGCATGTTTTCAGAAATTCGCCATCTTGAGTTCGCCATCTTGGCCACAAGGTGGGTTAAGGGTTTAGCCCCCATCTAACCCTTAACCTTCCACTAAGCTTACTACTCCATCCATCTATTCTAAGGTGCCTTGCTAACAAGTTGCTCTTTCCACAGGCCCTGGTAACTGAGGCCCAACTATCTGATGTGCTTTGTTAGCAAAGTTGACTAAACATTGTTGTAAAAAATTTAGGTTTTGAGTTTTGCCTTTTTTGTTTTGTGTTATGTATTCTGGTACTGACTACGTGAGTCTAAAATATTGGGCATATCTGTGCTAAGATTCTCACATCTAATAAGTTTTGTCATTCCAGAATATTTGTCGGTCAATTCTTGATAAGAACCAGGTAAGCTCTACTTATTCTACTTGATCTCCTTGTTGCTTTAATTGGAAATAATAAAGGGCTTTTGTGGCAAAGATTTCATTCAAAGCCAACCCGGGCCGAAAAATCCCTAAGACTCCATCTCCCAACTAACCTGCAAAGAGCCAGGCTGGAAGCATGGCTCAAGACTCTTATCTCTAACCAGCCAAACACTGGAAGTGCTATTGTAACTAACGTGGTAGAGCACTAGCCTTGAGCAGAAGTGCTCAGGGACAATGCCCAGGCCTTGAGTTCAATCCTCCTTGAATACCAACTGGGACAAGCCATCCCAGCAACGAGCACCTAGACTCAGCTAGTCTGGGGAACAAGGGAACATGGAGTGGAGATGATGTCACATCAGCTACTTTGTGCCTGCCCTTTCAAAATTAACCAGAGCCGGGAGGTCAGTAGAAGTAAGAAGCCTGCCCATCCAATGTCTATACCTGTCTACCTATTAACTGAAAAGGAATTTATATTCTTGCCTTTGTCACCTGACTTCTCTACCTAGTTGCCAGATGGCAGAAGTAGCTAGGGACATTTCTACCAAGTAGCCCCAAGTCCTTCCTCTTGCCATTTATTTGCTCTCTAGTATTTTTTTTTCCAGCCCCTCAATGCTCATGAGACTTCTCCAGACTTCATCTAAGGATTCACACCACCAAGGGACAGCTGCTGCTCACTGCCTTCTCTGGGAGGGGACCAAATTCCAGCCTTTTACCCCTATTGTCAACGCCTCTTGTCAGCAGGAAGTAGCCAGAGAGAATGTAAGGTCCGCTCCTGGATGGCGAGCAGACTCCACCCTCCTCCCAGCAAAGTCTCCACCCAGTACCTGTGTTACCTAGGCAACTGGGACACCTGGAAGAGGTCACCTCTGCATCTGCTGAGGTCACATCTGAATTTTGATGTGGCCACACCTTTCTCCGCCCATACTCTAGATAAGGCCTAGCCCAGGACCAGATGCTCTCTCTCTGCTCTTTTATAGTTCTCAGCTTTTTCCTTCTCTTCTCTTTCCCAGCTCCCTTCTCTTTTCTAGCTCTGTCTGCTCTTTTCGAGCTCTCTCTGCTCTTTTCTAGCTCTTTTCTCTCTCTTTCCCAGTCTACTGAATAAACCTACCCCTTACCTGAAAAAAAAAAAAAAAAGGATGAGCCAGGTGCCAGGGGCTCACGCCTGTAACCATAACTACTCAAGAGGCTGAGATGTGAGGATAGAGATTCAAAGCCAATCTGCACAGAAAATCCATAAGACAATAAACTACTGAGAAAAAGCTGAAAGTGGCACTGTGGCTCAAATGGTAGAGGGCTAGCCTTGAGCACAAAGAGGCTCAGGAACAGCACCCAGGCCCTGAGTTCAACCCCAGGACCAGCAGAAAGGAAAAAAAAAAAAAGGATGCTATTTAAGTTCCCCAATTTCATTGCACTTTTAGGTACTAAGTAAATAAAGGAGATATTGTTCAACTGATAGACTAAAAATATAATGGTCTTTAAAAAGCAAAAGTATCGTGATATCAAATCTCTATGATGGTCTTAAGATATACACTCATACTATTTGCAGGGTTGGTTCTCTTTTTTTACTATAATTTAGAAGTAAGGGTTGAGTAGAAGATATTAAGTACTTAATTCCCAGAAACTGGAAAATTGGAATGCTAATTAGACCAGTCAGTATAACAGCCCCTGTGAAGAACTGTTACCTACACACAATTCTCTTTAAATTTTCTGATGAGTTTCTGACAATCCTTCCACTTAATAGCTACTTAGACTATAAGGATATACCCTTTAAACCATGACTTCTAAACATTGTAATTCTGATGTATACCCATTTTACTAGTGTTTTTAAAAGGAGTAAAATCTACATTTTAAATTTACCTTTATTCAAGTTAAAGGGTTTTTTAAGCTACACAAAGAGCACAAATATTACCTAAAACATTAGCAAAGACTTTATGACAACATTTTTACTTTGAAATTCGATATAAATTCAATATAACCTTTTAACAATTGGGACTTTATTCATTACTGATATAAAACTATAATGCCTTTAAAGTACAATATGAAATGATAACATCTTTGGGCTTCATAACAACATTGGAAATTAGGAATAGGAAAAAATCCATGATTATTTGTTTGTTTATGGTGCAGAAATCCAGGAATGTTCTCACTCTGTTTTTAGACATAAGACAGAAGCTGAGAAGAAAAATAGGTTAGGAACCTAATATGGGAAAGAACCAGAACAAAATATTAGCTTCTTTAAAAAAGGAAAGGAAAAAGAAATACCTCGTAGCTGGGATGACAGTTGCATAGGACCCTGTAACATTGCTACTCTCAGGAGGGCTTGAGTTTGCAGCAGCATGCCTACACCGGTTGTATATTGTCTGCAGCAATAAATAAATGGGTTAAAAAATGAGAATCAAAAAGTTACCACCATTACTTGGGCCACACTTCCATTCTTCTCAAACTTTATTGTCGTTTGTGTGTGTGTGTGTGTGTGTGTGTGTGTGTGTGTGTGTGTGTTGGTACTAGAGCTTCTGCTTTCACTTGGCTTTTCATTTCTCTCAAGGCTGGATGATGCTCTAGCACTTGAGCTATATTTCTGCTTCTAAGACTTTTCACTATATACCCTTTGTACTCATTGAAATCTTAAAAAGAAAAGAAAAGCACAGTAAGTATAAGACTCATGACAACCGGAGCTTTGTTCTACCTAAAGCTGAGAGATAGCAGCAGGTAGCAGCTGGCCTGGTTAAATGGGGACTATATACAAAGGTGGAAAAGAGTATGGAAGAAGCTCAGGGTTTTGCAGCAACAACATTAATATTACTTATTGGAGTCTAGGAGAGAAGCTGTGACCTCCCTTCCAGGGTCATATCCCAGCTTGGTGACCTCTCAGACAGGGCATCTGAGGTATGAATACTTCCTTCCTCTCCTCTCTCCATTTTATATCTCTCTGGATGGCCTGCCCATTGAGTAACACCAAAAGTCAGCCAGAGGTTAAGAGTACTTGTCCAGGTAGCCAGGAGCTAGCTTGCCTGGGTGTGCAGCCAGCTCCATTGCCAAGTGTCTTAAGGATGGTGATCTATCACAGGAGGATAACAATCACACATAACTGAGAAGGGTGGGATGAGAACAAAACTGTCTAATCTATTCAAAGTGTTTACAACATCACTGATGATAAACACCATCCATCTTTCTACCATAGGCCATCTCCCTATGAGAGACAGCAGGAGGAAGACAGCAGTGGGGGTCAGGTCAGGCTGGCCGTAGGAATAATATCATTATTAACTAATCTATTCATTAAGCATCTCTAAATATGAGGACCTAGCTTTCCCCTTGCCCCTAACCTGTATGGAATCTTCCTGGTCTTAAAGAAGAAGGGACTAAAGCTGGGGGGAGCAGGTGCACTCCTTGTCCAAGGTCACACAGCCCAGCCCCAGCCCAAAATGCTAATTGTTTCCCAGCTGCTGAGTGTCCTCTTTTAGAAAGTTGAAGCTCATGAACAGTCCTTATAAAGTACAATACAAAAAATTAAAATTGAGACTTTCCTTTATTTTGCAGAATTTTGTCTGAGCTTATAAGACATCTAAAGAAAAAAAAGTTACATTTGAGAAATTCTGGAGTTTACAAATGCATCTACCTATCTACAAATGCATCTACGTATCTCCCTGTCTATGTTGTTTAATAATCAAACTCCAAAGTTTTAAATAAAAGAAAAACAGTATGTAATTTAATTGTGTTTAAAAAAACATATATCTCAAGCTGGACACTGGTGACTCATGTCTGTAACCCTAGCTACCCAGGAGGCTAAGATCTGAGCATCACAGTTCAAGCCAGCTTGAGCAGGAAAATCTATGAAATTCTTATCTCCAATTAATTAATCACCAAAAAGCTGAAAGTAAAGCTATGCCTTAAGTAAGTAGTAGAGTACTAAAATTGAGAAAAACAGTGCTTAGGCCCTGGTTTCAGCTCCAGTACTAGCACGAATAATAAATAAGTAATTGTGTGTGTGTGTGTGTGTGTGTGTGTGTGTGTGTGTGTATCAAACAAACTGTGTGATTGTGAAAATTAGTTTCGCCTCTTACCGTACTAACATCCAGTGGCAAGATGAAGACAATGAGAAAGCAGAGATACCAAGCAAGCAGTGTTCCAACAATTACAAGTCTATGCTGTTTCTTAAAGTCTCCATATCGATGAAGTAGGAATAATGCCAGAAAAAAGACAAAAACAATCTCGAGTCCCAATGCTGCACCACTCATTATTGATGTCACTCAGTCTGACTCAGGTTGTTCATGTACAGTCTGGACCATATCTGTTCACTGAAAAAAAAAGAAAAAAGAAAAATGTACCATCAATACAGGAACTGAGCATTTGGAAATGTTCCAACTATTTACTCATTATTATTAAATTTCTTGGAAAATTGACATCTAACTTTATATTGGACTCTGAATTAGATAAAAAGGGTAAATATTAATGTCAGGATATTATAATGAATTTTTAAAAATTTCTCATCACTATATTTTCAGAAAATAAAAGCTGTTTTTACAAAAGTCACAACAACTCTTAAAGTACTACAATTTAAGAAATTCATAATATTAAATGTGAACAGTTTTAGGACACTTAGGGTTAGTTTCCTAATGCTATAATCCTAACAGAATATTTCATACAAATAATGCTATTCTAGGAGATTAGATATTTAGGCTTAGGAAGTTATGATACTAGGAAATTAAATAATTAGTTAAAAGGGTTTTTAGATTATCTATAGCCCACAATTAAAGATTTTCTAAGCCATGCCGGTGGTTCACACCTGTAATCCCAGCTACTCCTAGCTACTTAGGATGCTGAGTTCTCAGGATTGCGGTTCAATGCCAGCACGGGCAGGAAAGTCCTTGAGACTCTTATCTCCAATAAAAACCACTAGAAAACCATGCCCAAGCCCAGAGTTCAAGCCCCACGACCGACCAAAAAAAAAAGATTTTCTGAGAGGAAGAGTCAGAAAAATGGAACCATTTTAAAGTAACATTTTCTTTGTTTGAAATATTATGTGCATACTATGTTAGTTTTATTTAACAACTCAACTTTCAGGTTTTAAATTTACTTTGCCTTTAATAAGATATACTTATCACTTTCCACTTGTCTACATAAACTTATTTAAACCAAGTTACTTTATATGTAAAAATATTCATCAGTGGCTTTTTATTGTTGTTTTTGAGACCAGATCTTACTATATAGCCCAGGTTTGCCTTTGCCTGCTAGGTGCTCAGAATATAGGAGTATACCACTATGCCCAGCTTGAAAAATAGTTTCACTTATAAAAGTTAGTGACACAGATATCAACAGATGATTTATTTGATGTCTTTCTACTCTTATATAAAATAATTTAAACTAGCACAATATGTAATTTTTAATCTATGGAAATAACAATATCTCAACTTTGTAAATCAAAATTCTAATGGGACCAAACAAGGCATCATCAATAAAATACCTCAAATCAACAAACATTAGTAGTCCAAACTATTCATAAAAAAAGAATTAAAGCTTGAGTACATCAATAAACTGAAGTTAAATTTATTTAAGAAATACCCCTTTATAAAATATCACAGAAATTGTTTCCCAAACTACTCTTCTCACTATTTCTTTATAATGTTGAAGAGATTTCTTCAATTTCTCTGCATATGTCAACCACCCATATTTTCATTTTTCTTAATCATCTATTACTGAACCTCTCTTGTCACTCTGAAACTTCATCCTCTCATCCTACTGCTTCTTCTCAGAAGATCCTCTTGTGGTTTGACTTATTTATTTACCTGAAAATTTTCAGGGCAATGAATAGGATAAATAGAAAAGAGTAAATATTAGTGATTACCAAAGAAATACTAAAGTATGGTAGAGTAAAATATGGCATATTATTGAAGTATTCAAAATGCTTGTTAAAATTATTTATGGCATTAGAAATTTTTCCATTACTATGTTAACCAAAAAACTAGATAAACATATCTCATACAATATGCATGAAAAGGGTAAAATAATGTAATATGTGAAAATATTAAAAAATAGGTTGTAAGATAATGGGCATAAATGAAAAATAACATTTTTGTTTAACTATGCTTCTCAATTTCTCTGCCTGAACCACAGTACTTTACAATGTTATAGATGAAGAAGTAGAATTATGGATCCTTTCTTATAGTAAAGAAATCATCTTGTTACAGCTCTTCTCTTATTCATTGTAGTAGACACCCATCATGGCTGTAAGAAAGTACTAACAACTGAATGACTTATAATCACACATATTTATTATATCACAGTTTCTGTAGGTTAGAAGTCCCAGTACAGCATGGCTCAACTGAGTTCTCTGTTCAGGGTCTCAAGATGTCAAGTGTGTTTACATTCCTATGTGGAGCAGAATCTAAGTTCATTCAGTCTGTTGGCAAATTTTCATTCTTTGTGGTTTTTAAGAGTGGGATTCCTGGGGCTGGGAAGGTGGCTCAGTGGTAGAGCGCTTGCCTTGTATGCATGAGGCTCTGGGTTCAATTCCTCAGCACCACATAAGCAAAAAGAAAAAAGCTGGAAGTGGTGCTGTGGCTCAAGTGGTAGAGAGCTAGCCTTGAGTTGAAAAGCTGAGGGACAGCACCCAGGCCCAGAGTTCAGAGTTCAGGCCCCACGACCAGAGGATTCCTGTTTCTTCAGAGCTGTTTATTGACTGGTATTTGCCCTTAATTTAAGAGGCATCTGTGTATCTTTTTTTTTCAGTGTACAATGGGTACAGTTGGGACAAATTGGGGAGAATAAAGGAGTGACATTGACCAAATGCTTTGTACTCATAAATTAACATGTTGAAATGAAACCCTTTTTCCAAGTACTTAAGATAATACAAAATTAAAAATGTATTCAACATTATTTTATATCTAAGTAAATAAAACTACATTGAAATGATTATTTTGGTCAAGTAAATTAACATGCATCTTATCACAATTACTTCCTTTTCCTTCTTTCTTTCTTTCCTTCCTTCCTTCCCCCCCCTCTCCCTCTCTTTCTCTCTCTCCCTCCCTCTTTTCCAGTGTGTTGGGTGAAGTGGTCCTGTATATCATTGAAGGAGCAATGGCTGGCAAGTGTTTCTGATAATTAAAGTATCATCTATATGGTGGTCTCCTATGCTCTTAGATTGAAGAAAGCTTTGCATTTTAGGATTTATTAGATTTAATAAGTGCACCTAGATAATATAATCATACTGGTTTTAGCAATTAAGATAAACATGCTGTGTGTCTATTATTCTCTTTGAATTTATGTTCTCTGGGAACTCCTAACTAAACCCAAGACTGAACAAAGTCATTTCATATCTTTAAATTTAGATCATCCTAACCTATAACATCTATATCTGAAATAGTGTATTTCAATTTATTTGTATGGCAAAACATACCCATTCAAACAAAGGCAACTGCTTTCTCCAAATAACACAAAGGTAACTTTACATTAAAAAAAATCTAGAGGCTTCATTTTAAAATATTTTCTACATAGTAATGTGAGTTTAATGGGGAACACTGAATCTAGTATTCTGCATCATTTTGAATAAAATCAGTTTGCAAAAACATCATGTCATTACACCAATCTCACTTTCAAGAAGTTCTAAGTGGTCATTATTTTACTCAATTATTTTACTCAAGCCAATGTTCAAAGAAACACAAGAATCTATCACAGAACAAACCAAATATTCCAGTATGTTTGTGATTAAGGGGCCTGTTTACTTCTGAACTGTTCGTGTCATTAAAAATTGGGCTTGGAATTCATCCCCCTCTCCTTTCCCATTGTTGCCCTGGTAGCGTGCGCAGTGGATTTCGTATGGTCATCCACCTGGATTACGGTAGGTTCCCTATTCTAACTGCCCTAACCTCGCCTTGTCATAGACAGGCCAAATCCCCCTCTTCCGTATGCAGTGGGTTGAGCCGAAGTACCTGCCAGGCTTTCCTGGTGGCCGCTGGCTCTGCACCAGCGAGGCGCTTCGCAAGCACACCGTCATCTCACTGATTCCCGTGGCAGCACCAGTGAGATCGGTGCAGGCTGCCAGGGATGCGCAGCTTTCTCGCCAATCGCAGGAAGCAGTGTGGTACTCGGTTCCCCTAAAATTAAGCTTCCAATTCGCTTTAGTCTACAAAGGCTTTCACACGCACGATCTGGTGCGATCCGCGTCCTGAGCCTCTGGCTCTCTCGTTGGCGGTGCTTATTTTAAAGAGAAAGTAAAGACCCGGTCGGAAGACCCCATCCTGAGCCCCCCCTCCCTCCCCCGGGCGGAGGCAGGGAGATTGGCAGGTGTCCCTCGCAGGGCTCCCGGCCTCTCACCTGGGCGGCGGGCCGAGCGGCCACCGCCATTCGGGTCAGGGATGTGGGCCCCACGGGGGCGGCCGCTCGGGTCTCCGGGGTCCCCTCGCTCTCCACCGACTCTCGGCCCAGACCGCGGATCCCGGACCCCCAAAACACCTCACGCGCTCCCCGTCAGGCTCACCCGCCGATCTCGCCAGACAGCGTCTGGAAGGCACCGGGAAACCGCGACCGCCGTACCTGGCCAGGGTTCGAGACCCACGCTCCGAGGAGACCGCGGTGACAGTCACCCCAAGGCCTACGGGTTCCAGGGACAGGAGAACCCCCTCAGCCCAGCGGCTGACATTTCCCAGTCAGCCGGAGCTCCACCCACTTCCGCTTCCCCGCCTTCCCCCTAGCGCGGCCCGGCCCCGCGCCGCGGAGCTCCACCCGCTTCCGCTTTCCCACTTCCCCACCCCCCTCAGCCATTTCCCCCAAGCTCTGTCAGACCGCGAGGTTTTATGGGTATGTGGTAGGCGGGCAAAACGGAAGTCGGAGTGAGCCAGTAGGCCAGGGAGGCGGGCCAGGAACTACAATTCCCAGCAGGCAGCGCGCCAGCAGTAGGCGGCCGCCGTGCGGGTGAGCGGGCCGAAGAAGTCTGCGCGCGCGGAGAGGATGGAACGTTACTAGAATTCCCGCATTAGGCTGCCGCGGCCGGGGCCGCTTGTGGGGGCCCCCACGCGAGTTGAGCGGGAACTGGGAAGACAGGTCGCTCTGTCACTAATGAACGAGTTTAAAACTCTCGAACCAGAGGACGCCATGCACAGGTAAGCCATTTGTAAAAAGCTGCCGAGCATGAATGGACCGTTGTAACTCTTTAGGCCGCTCCTCTGATTGCTGAGATTGTTACTGATGGTGGCTTGGCCTCGGCCTGGGGAAAGGACGGATGGATGGTTGGATGTGAAGTCAGCGTGCGAGTTTACTTGCCTTCCTTAGTTGGGATGGCCTGCAGCCGTTTTCCACCACTGATTTCCCTCCCTCTTTCCTCCTTCCCTCCAAGGGAAGAAATTCTCCAGGCCTGCGTGATCGTAAATCTAAAAGCCCTTTTGGTTCAGTTTTTTTTCCTTTTATTCTTCAAAATCTTGCTGCATCATTTTTTTTAACTGCCATTTTAGTAGCTGTTGTGGATCTTTTCGACAATACATCACTTAATGCTTCTTTCATGCCTGCCTTGGAATTATTTAGGGATGTATTTTGAAAAGAAATGGGGGTCTTGTGCCCTTCTACAGGAAGCATCTCCAAGAGATTCCGGATCAGAGTAGTAATGTTACCACCAGCTTCACGTGGGGATGGGATTCCAGCAAAACGTCTGAACTGCTGTCAGGCATGGGAGTTTCCACCCTGGAGAAGGAAGATGTGGACAGTGAGAACATCCCCCAGGAACTACTCCCAATCCTGGGCCACTCCCAGAGTCCGCAAAGGAAAAGGCATAAGAGCAAAGGGAATGACAAAGACTTTGTGATCATCCGTCGACCTAAACTTAATCGAGAGACCTGTCCAGGTAAGATAGAAGGGTAGCACTATCAGTTAAGTAAAGAGTAGATTGAACCAAACATTTTGTTGGCAAACCCTCTTTGGGAGATCTTTACGAAATTGCCGAGTTCTAAAGTTATTTTGCAGTAAAATAAGACCAGTCATCATTGAAGCCTACCAGAATCTTCATAGCTGTTTATGTTCTGGTGCACGGTTGACGTGAAACCTTTAACCTATGAGACAATATTCCTGTCTTTTTCCTTAGAAGGGAATCTGCCTGCTCAAAGTCCAGCTCAGAGCCACTGATAAATGGAAACACAAACTATGATCTTCTAGGATTTTGTCTGTTTATAATTCCAGTGAGCTTTCCTGCTTTAGTCACTTTATTTGTAAATGGACTGCTAAACAAAATATTAATGTATGAGGAGAGACATATCCCCTAGTCCACTCCCAAACGAGCATCTCCTGGGAAGTTCTATCTCCATTTCCTTGGTGTTACCTTTCAGTCACCTAAAAGAAAAACTTACATCAGCTTTTTCCCACCTCCCATATTCAAATCAATTGTTACATCTTTCCTCTTTTCTAGTATCTCTTAAGCACTCCATCTCTTGAATTGTAATAGATTAATTGCCCAGAAATAGAATGAATTGACTAAAACGTAAGAACCATGTAATTACCCTTTTAAAAGGTCCACATTCCTAATAGGTACCTTCTGGGTGGATCAAAATCCTGTAGTAGCTGGACCCCACTGTCTCACACCCATAATCCTATCTACTCCGGAGGCTTGAAGTCTAAGGATTATGGTTCAGAGCTAGCCTTGGCATGAAAGTTTGTGAGACTCCTATCTCCAATTAATCACCAAAAAGCCAGATGTAAAGTTGTGGCTGAAGTAATACAGTGCTAGTCTTGAGGGGAAAAAAAACCTAGAAACAGTGCCCAATCCTCTCTCGCCCCCGCCAAAAAAAAAAAGAATATCCTAGAGTACTCAAAACTATAAAACAAGGGGAGGACGGTAATCAGTTTTTCTTGGTAGTAAGTCATTTAAAATAACAATTTAGCAAATATATTCTGATTACATACTATGTGCTAGACACAGTTCTAGTTGCTGTGGATATGTGGTGAACAAAAAAACCTTTTCCATGGAGCTTCCAATCTAGTTAAGAAACACAAACAATATATATGATATATAGTGTGCTAGGATGAAAAGTGCAAACTAAAAACAAAATTGAGTCCACCAAGAGAAGAAGCAGCCCTGGGGTAGGAAGGTAGATTGCGGTTTTAAACAGTATTGAGGGAATGCCTCAGTGCTCAATTGGACAGTGTCCTTTAAAAAAGCAGAGACCTGAAGTAGGCCTGGGAGTATGCCTTACCAATACCTTGGAGAAAAGAGCCTCAGGCAAAAGGATGAGCTATTGCAAGATCATGGGACAAGGATGAATAACAAGGAAGCCATATGACAATTGAGTGGCAAAGGGGAAAAAAGAGGCTAGTTAGGCAAGAAGTGGTGTTGAGCAGAGTTGTGGACCAGACTTGATGGAACCATTCCAGAGGACACAAGATAATGCTGAGACTAAAATAGAATGGGTCGTGGATAGAAGCATAGAGATTGTTTTAAGAGATGGTAGGAGAAGGGAGGAGCAAAAATAAGCAGTAGTGTTTATCCTGAATATAGTCTCATGTTAGAAACAACAGAATTACAGGATTGTTGAAATTATTCATAGAAGGAAGTGGTCAGTCTAAACTGAAAATAACAGTGTGATGGATAAAATAGAGATGAAGATGAAAAGTCCTGCAGAGAGTCAAGGTAAATAATTATAGTCCTAAATTTTTATATTTGACTTGGCAGAAGAATAGATGAGTTTGGGTTGATTGCTTGCTGAAAATAGTTATTAAATTTTCTCAGTCCTTTATTTGGGAAAGAGGGCCTTATCCAAATTACAGCAAAGGAGTCCTTATAAAGAATTAGATTAATGTTGGGCATGATGGTGCACATCTTTAATCTCAGCAACTCAGCAAGCTGAGGAAGAAGAATTTCATGTTTCTGCAAGCCTGTTTATAGCAAGACTATTTAAAAATGAAAACAAAAATAAATAAAACAAAACAAAAATATAGCAAGACAGTAGCGGGGAGATAAGACAATCTGGGCTTTAGTTTCTATGAGCCTTAGTTTTTTTCCCGCCTTTGAACAGTAGTAATAATTGCCATTTCATGGGTTTCTGTGAAGCTTAAAATGAGACTATGTGAAGCCCTTCGCATGCTGTTGGCAAGTATAATAGTATAAATAAAACTAGTTAACACTGGTCAACAAAATTTCTGACACCTGCTAGGGAAGTCAGCTGACTTGTTAATAATGCTGACCTGAGTGCGTAATGTTGTTAATCCAACTCTGTTCATATAGAGCTTTAATCTTTAAAAAGTCTGCTGTGTTTAGCATGTGGAGCATGGAAAAAGTATTTCCTGCTAAGGTATTTTGATTAAATGGCTCAGTGCTGATAGCTTTTGTGTCTGCTGTATGTCCTTTACATGCACACATACACATCTGTAAATAAAAGTGAGTGTCTGAAAAACAGATACAAGTATAAGGGATGGATCCTGCCTCCTAGGGATTTGCAAGTCAAGTTGAAAAGAAAGGACCAAAAGTAAAAGCAGCAGCTCACACACAGCTTGCAGTTATGTGTGACTAGGAGCAAAGGAGTAGCTCATACAGCAAGGACCCCTAGAGGCCAGAGGGAGAGAGGGCCTTGAGCAAAAGTTACTCCATTCCCACTGGGGTAGATGTGAATAATCTTCTCACTCAGCCATGTGAATCATCTTTCCACTCAGCCAAAGTGGAAGTTCCAAAAAAAGAGGGGTCTTGAAAGTGGTACAGTCAGTTTGACTGGATTATAATATTGACCCTAAAATTGTATGTTTGAAGTAAGAGGCACAGGAGACAAAGGGGAAACAATAGCATACATGTGTATGTGCCTGGACTTAGACAAATGTGATTGGTCCTTTGCTATGGATGAAAACTGGGCTCAGTGATACAGGATAGACAGCTGTGGAAAGCAGTTCTGATGGGCTCCCAGAAGCAAGCCAAAGCCTCCAGTATTGGTTGGTCCTCATTCAGAGACCTTTTGTCTGCAGTTGTCGGGACAGGTGGCTGGAGTTCTACTAGGATTAGGATATGATAGGCCACATCTGCTGTGCATAGAGATCTGATGACTGACTCTGGGATTTAAGTTTTGTGGGTTCTTTGCTAAATAAGCTTTCCCTGTAAGCCCCAATCCAGCCTCACATCTGACATCTGAATTCCACTTCATCCTCTTCTCTTAATAGTGGAAAATTAAAGCTGTTCTGTCAGCCTAGACCAGAACAGGTCTCATTGGCCCTTGGGTGAGCATACGGAAGAAGTTGAAAGGAAACAACCAATAACAAGCAGAAAGAGGACAGTCTCACACTTATGATCATTAAGAGCTTATTCTCGGCCCTTTGACAGGCGTTGGCCATGAAAATGTGGTTGAAATAATTTGTTGATCAGTTTTTCTATGGCTCTTAGCCTGCTTAAAATTCCAGGCCAGACAAAGATTCTCAGATTGGAAACTCTGAGGTTCACAATATATCATAAGCCCCAAGGGAACTTGTTCAAAGTGCAAAATTCCTGAGATTCTTATCCTAGAACACTTGAGCCTGGGTATCTTGTCTTAATATCCTCAGGGAAAACATTTTTAACTTTTTTAATTAGCAAGAAATATGTTTTATGCTGAAATCCTGGATGTATATCCGCAAGTTTTGTAGAATACATTTCCCCTTATTAAGATGTTTTCTGTTACAACAGATGTCTATTCTTTGACATAAAATACTAGTTAA